AAAATAGCAATGGAACCAAACATAATAAAATAGCAATGGAACCAAACATAATAAAATAGCAATGGAACCAAACATAATAAAATAGCAATGTAAACAAACAATATCAAAATTTCAATGGAAACAAACAATATTAAAATAACAATAAAAACAAACAATATTAAACTAATAATGTAAACAAACGTATCAAAATAGCAATGGAACCAAAGATAATAAAATAGCAATGGAAACAAACAATATCAAAATAGCAATGTAAACAAACAATATTAAAATAGCAATGACAACAAACATATCAAAATAGCAATGAAAGCCAACATAATATAATAGCAATGGAAACAAACATATCAAGACATTCCTTAAAACATAACTTTCAGTGGCCAGTACAAATCGTATTATAATGTCCCCTCGATATACTATGATCTTATTTGATGATTCTATCTTCAAGTATTTATTAACAATTATTATCTCTCGTGAAGTTCTTCTTAACAACAGTTTATGTCTTTTTTCTGGCATTTACTGGCACGTTTTGTGGCCGAACTTGCATTATAAACCATGAATTAGTCACACAACTCTAAGTACACCTTCTGAATTTTGAATAATATAAAATTAATGTATTTCATTTTGAAAAAATCTTATTTTACCCTAGTAATTCAAATCCATTAAACATCTCCCTTTAATTTTTTTAGGCGCTAGTTTACAATCTTACTTTCATTTTGAGCGTATTTGGTAAATTCAGGTGTTCAAATATTTCCAGATATCGAAAGAAATAACACTAGAAGGCACTGTTGTCAGCCGAAAATATAGCTATTATATATATACATAAATGTACAATATATATATAAACACTGTTTAATTAAAGTATCAAATTAATTCGTTAATCAGTTCTTTAAGGATATTTCCGTACAAATCTGAATTTAAAGTGGTCATACGCTTTTAACTGGTTCATATATACAATATTTAATTAATAATACGTAGGCAAACAACGATTTATAAGCATGGGGTTTGTTAATATCTAACTAATAATAGGTAGGCAAACAACAATTTATAAGCATAGAGTCTGTTTGTTTGTATTTAAGCACAAAGCAACACAAAGGGCTATTTGTGCTCTGCCCACCACGGGTATCTAAACCAGATTTCTAGAATTATAAGTCCGTAGACATGCCGATGTGCCATTGAGGTACATAAGCATAAGGGAGAATTTTATTGATGGTGGAACATAGTACATGTTTCGACAGGCCATTGGTCTCTCTTTTTCAAGTATGATGCTACCCAATATACCAATGTACACAATACGATTATAAGAAAAAATAAATACCTTCGAAGTTGTTTTATGTTAAAAACCCCTAATCCACGAAAATCTTCTGGGAGAAAATCCTTAGTCGAGAAGACAAAATTAATAGACGTACAATAAAAGAAGCCCTGTTAATAAAAAAACATAACCCTATTTTAAACAAATAAAAAGTTCGTTTATATCTGTTTTAATCGCTCTTTTCTCTCTTGTTTGTGGAACGAATTTCACTATTTAGACACAGACCTAAAAGTTTTATTTATATATTCATAAATTTATCAGTTTAATGGTGAATTATTTTATTAAGTTTACAGCTGTTTAATCACATACTCGAAGGTTAGCATTCTAATTCATTTTTAAATTAAATTCTGTTAGCCTCAGTTTTTTTATCCCACCTGATGATGCCAGGCAACCAAAATAAACAAAAATTTTACTATGTACAACCAATAAAAAAAAACGCCCCTCAGTGGTACAGCGGTATGTCTGCGGATTTACAACCGGGTTTCGATACCCATGGTGGGCAGTGCACAGATAGCCCATTGTGTAGCTCTGTGCTTAATTACAAACAAACGACAACCGATAAAAACAACTTGTGTGAATACACCAGTCACTTCTAAAAAAAAGATGACACCTCCTTTTCTTCCAACAATTCAATATATCGAATGGCCCATAATCTTTGATAAAAAAAAGTAAATTTCAGGTGTTGTTTTTCATGTTTCTTTTAAGTTATCCATTTCAGATTCCAAACCAGAGAAGTATATCAATAACATTTCAGATTTAACTTTTGAATCCGAAATTGGTTTCTGGTATTTACGATATAAGTAGCGTTTCATATCATTTTTTGTTCCTCATCGCCCAGCCCAGCTGACGAGTTCTGGTATTGTACGAAAGGCCTCTTGGGCAGTGACTTATTGGAGGCAAAAAATAGATCTGAAAACATATCAGTAGTTCTTAAGTTGCGTTTCTGATGACCCCTGGAATTGAGCAAAAGGCTTTGTCGTCAGAGGTGCGCGGTGCACAAGATATGTGGTCAAGATACTATTATATACTTCTTACTAGAAACCAGTAATATAGGGACCAGTAAAGGAATATTTGTAAACAACTATTATCAGTCTTATTGTCGTGTAATATCACACAAACTACAGATCAATAGATCATCTTCGCCAGCATAGGGCGTTGTATACCTTAATAATTCACAGTCAGCGATACAATATCCTAATAACATAAGATATGATTGCTCTAAACAATAAAATGTAATTATATCCTTATGGAATATATTGAATTAATGAACAAAACATAAAAGTTTAACACACTAAAATAATAACGGAATAACTGGTAGTATAAGCAATCCTGAATAGTAAAACGTATCTTAATGAGATTACTCATTTATAGCGTTTCAGTTTTCATATTTGAGTTGATAGAGTGTATTGCAAGTACGTGTGTACAAGACTTGAATTTCACTGCAAAGCTCTTTTCGAGTTTCAAAGTTCACTGAATCGACTAATGCTTGTAAGTTTACTCAGAAGAAACTGTACTCGACTAATAAAATATGTTATATTTGTTGGGAGAGTTTCAATGACGTTATCATTTACAGGGTAATAAAGGGTTATAAAACACTGACTATAATTTCAAGCACCACATTCTTCATTGGACTAATTGTGTTTCCGAAAAGTTTGTTTGTTTATTTGTTTGTAATTAAGCACAAAGCTACACAATGGGATATCCGTGTTTTGCACACCACTGGTTTCGAAACCCGGATTCTAGTCCTATACATACGCCGCCTATACAATTACGCTTAGCCGAAGGTGTGACTGTCACTGTTACACCGGCCTCCCCCACCCCCGTAAGACTACGGACTTATAACGTTAAAATTCGGAGTTCGATTTCCCACAATGAACACATCAGATAGCCCAACGCGACTTTGCTCTAAGTCAAACAAAAAAATTGTTACATCGCCCCCAACCTGAAATTGCAGAACGTATTCATCAGCATAGCGGGCTCGAGCCCCCAACTTTTCAACCCTCAGTCTGGATGTTAACCACTAGACCCCATGACCTCCTACCATCTTAAAGGGTGGGGAGAAATAAGAACAGTGACTTTAAGAGAAACTTACTCGAGCTAAACAATAAAGCAAAACGTATTTCCGTACAAAACCTAAGAGGAGGGATGCTAATAAGTTGTTGTGCAGCATCATAGCATTTTTTCTTTTCTTTTGCCGGTATATACAATACACTTTTTGTTAATTCTGGTTTATATACTGGCACATATCTCTTATGTACAAAACTCTTCTGATTGAAGAACTTACTTAGGTACAAATTC